TTTTTAAAATCTTGTTTAAGTCTAGTGTGTCTTTGTTGATTCCTGCCTTGATCTGTGTAGTTCTGTCAGTAGAGTGTTGAAATCCCCTACTATTGTTATGTTGGTGTTTATTTCATTTCTTAGGTCTAGTAGTATTTGTTTTATGAATCTAAGAGCTCAGGTGTTAGGTGCATATATATTTAGGATTGTATTCTACAAAACTAAGTTTCGTAAATGAAGGGGAAATAGTCATTCCCAGACAAGCAAACACTAAAGAAATTTGTCACCACTATACCTGCCCTACAAGAAATGTTCAAAAGTGCTCTGTGCACTAGAAAGAATGGTCACTACTCACCAGTGTAAAAACGTTGGAGAGTAAAAACTCACAGCTCTTATAAAAAAGTAACACAGGGGAGAATGCAAAACAATTATGTAACAATCAACACCATGACTGGAACAGTATCTCACTTACCAATATTAACATTGAATGTTAGCAATCTAAATGCCCCACTACTTAGAAGACATAGATTGGCAGAATGGATGAAAAAACAGAACCCAGATATTTGCTGTCTCCACGAAACCCATTTAACTCATAAAGATTCTCATAGACTCAAGGTAAAGGGATAGAAAAAAATATTCCATGCAAATAGAAATCAAAAGCGAGCAGGAGTAACTATTTTTACATCAGATAAAATAGACTTTAAATCAACAACAGTAAAAAAAAGAAGACAAATATGGTCATTATAGAATGATAAAGAGATCAATTGAACAAAATGCAGGGTTTTTGACACTCATTTCATGGCAAGACCTGACCGACACTGATTTGAGGCTACTGAGCTAGTATCTTCACTTCTCCCTTTATTCACTTCACTGCATGCATTTGTTTAGTGAGTGTTTATTTCCCAACAAGTGTGTGCTAGGGGGTGGAGGCAACGGAAGAAGCAAATGAAGTAGTCAAAGTGAAAACCCTTTAAAAACCACAGAGTACCTGCCCATTTTGTTCCGCTTACTACTTGGTATTCTAGACATACATTAACTCACAGCATGTCTCCCTTTATGATACCCTGTTATGTTAGCTCTCCAAGACCCTGGAGGGGAGGGAGGAGCAGGTCTTATTAGTCCTCCTTTGTAAACTTGAAAGACAGATACCCAGTGCAGGATTTTGATACGTTAAATGTCCAGGAGCAAGTTGCTCCTCTGGTCTGTGAGTGATGGGCTACTTTCCTTGGAGTGTGTTCAGTGTTTATATATTCAAGCTAACTGCCTCCTAAAGAAGGATTCCTAATGTGTCCTTTGGGCCATGCTAAAAATGCAGCTCTTTCTGTACTAGACCCTGAAAATACATGGCAAGGTATGGAAATAAGAACTGAATAGCCAATGTGGGGAACATGAGTTGGTGACTCTAAGAGATGTATCACTACTACTGACTTTGAGAAGGGCCATGGCCACCATTCGGCTTGCAATTGGTTGCCTGAGGAATGTGGGTGTGCAAGTTACAACAAAGCTGCTGCTTGGGTGGTCCTTTACCTCTGTCACTTCAAAGTGGAAGAAAGGTGGCTCCTCACAGATTCCAGGTTGGACAGGTTAGGGGTAACCTGCTTGATGGAAGTGGGTGTTACTCAACAGATTTTCAGCCAGGAGCCTCTTTCATCCTGCCCATGGGCAAAGGCAAAGCCATCTAGGACCTTGCCTTTTGTCATAGAATGGACCCTTCCTTCCCTTATTCTTCTGTGGAGGCCCAGAAGACTTGATGGGAGGTGGGCCTGGCTCTATGGAGAGGGGGAGGCCTATCCTAAGGGGCCGATAAGACATTCCACTCTTCGATTCTGCATGTTTGTGATAAATCAGGTAGCATATTTTGCTCCCCTGTGCTTTCTGTTTTATCATTTAGAGTTTAAAAGTGGCTTCTGTGTTTTTCTCAAACTCAATGATAT